AAATGAGATGGCACTGGAGAAAAATTAACAAATAAACAGGAGTTACGTACACAAAGGGGCAGTGAAAACAAGAGGGTTCTAGGTGGAGACCCTGCTTGTGTAAAAACACAGAAGTGAGGAACGTCTTGGTGAATGAGGCCTTTGCTACCATAAGGACTTTGATGTTTCTGTGACAGAAAGACTGGATATGGAATTGGCAAGAGACTTTAGCAGTAGATTTGAGACAGGCAAGTCATAGAGTGGTTCTAGGTCAAGCTAAGAGCTTTAAACTTGATGTTGTGTGCAATCAGAGGTTCACAAGGAGTGCTCACAGATGTTTGGTGCAGGCAGCTTTATGACAATTGAATTTGAAGACAACAAGAAGTGAGATTGTAAAGAATGGTTAGGAGCCCCTGGCTCATTCCTGGATCTGCCTTACCATAGGATTTTTCATCATAACCTTGATTAGTAATTTTATGGCTACCAGAATTCTAAAATGAGCCCCATGATCTGTGCTCCCTAGTGTTACTCTTTAACTAAGACATGCTCTACAGCAAAGAGATTCTGAAGATGAAATTAATATTATTAATCAGTTTGATAGGGGAAATTGTTTGGGTTGGACTAACATGATTACAAGATTTCTTTAAAAGTAGAGTTTTCTTCTGGCTGGTTATAAAAGTCAGAGAATATTGAGTCATTAAAAGAATTCAGTGTGAAAACAATTCACAGCTGTAGATTCTGATGCTGGTGGATGAATGTGGGAAGGGACTGAGTATGGATGGCTTCTAATAGCTGAGAGAGCCCTTTGCTTGTGGCCAGCATAGAAAAGGACCTTCAGTCCTACAACCGCAAGAACATGAGTTCAGCCACTAACCACACGAGCAGGAAGCAGATCATTGCTTAGAGTTATCGACAAGAACTCAGTTCTGCTGACACCTTGATTTCACTCCTGCGGTAATATTGAGAAGAGAACCCGGCCATGCCATGCCAGACTTCTGACTGCATAGCTCTGAGAGAAAAATGTGTTTTGTTTCTAGAGCTCATGTTTACAGAATTTTTTTCAGTGGCAATAAAGCACAATACACATCTCAGCAAGATGACACTTATAACTGCTTTTTGTTGTTCATGGGAAGGGTGCTAGACAGATCATTTGCTTTGTGAACAATTCTTTTTTAGATCGAAAGGGACAACAGTGGGGCCTCACACAGGACCAAACAGCATACCAAACACCTGACAATTTAAATTTGCGGGCAATTTAACGTTGTGTGTAAAACCACTTCATGGGAGAGGCACTACTGACTACCTCTGGTTTATAGCTGAGAAAATTGAAGTTTAGCAAATCCAAGTCATGCCACCAGCAGATCAATAGAGCTGAGAGTTGACCATGACTGTACCTCTGCCATGTAGATAGACCAAGATCTATTGAAAGGTTCAATGATTCCATTAGTTCTGGTGACCTGTACCTGTTTCTCCGAGAAGGATCTAATGCAGTAGATTACAAATCATAGGACTGGACCATGGGAATGATTTTTAGGTTCAAGATTTGCAGTTTCTGTTCAAGATAGATTGGATAGATTCATGTTGGGCATGAAAGATTAAGGAATCATCTTGGGAGTGGTATCAATTTATTCCTGTTTGTATTTTTTTTTTTTTTTTGTAACCTGGACAAGGAGAAGGAAGAAGAAAATGAAAAGGAACTAGAGGGAAATGGTTGGTACTGACAAAAATGGGCTTGATATGGTTTAGTCACAGAGGCGTCCAATTTGGCAATTCCTGGCTTCATGTCCATTCAAGCATGGGCAGGTGTCTTTTTTGTTTTCTTGTGTTATAGAAAGCTTGAGGCTGTCAGCCTTGTGCCAAGAAAAAAACAAGTAATTAAATATTTTAATATTTCCTGCCTATGAACTGTTCCCTGTTTTATTGCTTTAAACGCACTGAATTTAAAAGGATGTGTGAAAGACTTCTGAGCCATTAATAAAAGGCTGCAGCTGCTCGAGGAGAGCGATGCCACATATTTTTCAAAGGAATGATTTTGATCCGAGCACTTTAGTCCGCATCAGGCTGATTTATGAGCGCCCCGAAACTGATACAAAAGCATGAGGCAAACACTTGCGGAGCTTCCGGGATATATCTGGGCAGAATACAGGCCATGATTTCTTTTCCTTGGGGAAAATATAAAGGTATAAAGGGAAGAAATATGAAAGCCAGTGGCTCACAAGTTAGGACGCTATGTAGAATCAGAAGAAAAAAGAGTCACCTTATTCCTAGAGTAAGCCAGAATCAGTGGTGAATTTCACGTGGTTCGTTTTTAAGGTTTCTGTTTGAGTGAACAGAATGAAGAGTAGGGATGTAGTACTTTATCTATTCCAGCTTTTTGAGAGATTCAAACAGGGATATTTGCTAAATGAAAAAGGTAGATATTAAGATGTGCTTCTATTTTCCCCTTGCCATCAAGTAAGTGGTACCAAATTGCTACTTCTCAAAGTTCTTAGACTTCATTTTAAAAAGCCATTCATTTTTCTTTTTAATGGAATGGAGTGTAACAGAAGTGAAAGGGTGGGATACTCTGGAAATTCACTTCAAGGCGGCGAAGCTTTGCAGAGTCCTGCCACATGCAAGGTCATGTTCGGTGCTGAAAGATTCAAAGGAAATTGTTGCCCTTGTCCTTTGCCTTATGGAGCTGGTTGGCTTTCTGCCTGGACATGCTGAGCTCTTTCTGAGCACGCTGGAAGATAATTCTTAAACTTCAGTCACTCCAATGCCACTTTTGCAGTCTTGGCTGTGGAATCACCTTCTTAGTTTTTTAAAAAAAATTCAGCTCATGGTATGCTTAAACAAATATAACACGAGAAGCAATAATATACGTGAAATCACAGATTTACTGTGCTAATTGGATCTGTTCAAATGTGCATTCAGATAGAGCTAAACAATATCTTTATCTGAAACTTTTGGGTTCAGACGCATTTTGCAATTTAGAACATTTTTGGATTCTACAAATGTAATAAATTGCATGTCCTATATGTTTTGTGTCACTCATATGCAGTGTGGAAATACTTTGTAGTCAAAGATCAGCATTTTCAGTGAAACTCTGAATATCTTCATTAGGGAGAATGTAGGGTAATTAAAGATGTTAAATAAGGTCATGTCCCCTGGAAAACTTATGACTTCCAAAGTTTTTTAGATTTCATAACTGCAGATAAGGAATTGCGTATCTGTGAGTATCATTTAAAAGATCTGTGTACTATAGAGAGTAAAGCTCTCAGTAATGTTAACACATGAATCATTTCTTCCTTTTTTTCCAGCGGTATAACTGGCCTGAACATTTTAGAAACATTTTCACTGAATTGTAAGGATAAATATAAAATGACCTTAAAGAGCACTGATCCCAGCTAGGAGTGGTGACATACTCCTGTACTCCAAACTACTCAAGAGGCTGATGCAGAAGGATTGCAAGTTCAAGGCCAGCAAAGCTAGAGAGTCCTGTTTTCAAATAAATATTTAAAAGGTCTGATGACATCGTAGCTCTGTGTGAGGCCTTGTTTAGAATGGCCAGTACAGAAGAAGGAAAAGAAACATTGACCTTAAGTACCCAGCCCAACTACTTTATCTATAAATGAACTTTCTCTTTCTCTGGCTCTGTCTGTTTCATTCTCTCTTTCCTTTCTTTCCTCCTTCTTTTCCTTCCTTGATCCCTCCCTCACTATACACACACATGCAAGCACGCATGTACACACATACACACATACACACACAGGCAAGCACTCATGTACACACACACACACGCACACACACACATATACAGGCTTTCTTTGGTCTCTTCCTGGACAATATCCACTCCAGCATTATGGCAACCTGTTTTGAGTTCCTTAAATAATTTAAATCAATTAAATTAACACAGTATATGTTCTATTGTACATTTTTTTCTCCCTTTAGTGTTAAGTCTGTGAGATTTTTCCATGTCATTTTCTGCCAGTGGTTTGATCCTTTTTATTGTTGGGCAATATTCCTGTGCATTCACTGCCTTATGGAATGCAGCATGTAAAAATTTTAAGTCAATATTTCTTGAAGGATTCTCTTTCTCTTCAAGAGAGAGCCAACCACAAAACGAAAACTCGTATCGGGGGAATTTGAAATCAGCTGATAAAGCTCACTGAGGTCATAGGCCCTTATGCAGACTCCAAAAACACAGCTCATGTTGAGAGGCTGGATATAAACGCTGGTTAGATTCACTCCCAATCTTGTTGTCACTGCTTTGGTAAGTGGATGCGGGCTGCTAGCTTCATCAGACAAAAAAGGGACCAGGAGATTCTGTACAAACATTTTGATTTAATTTTTGGATAGTGTAAAATTTGCAAAGAGGAAATTAAAAGCTCATATAGTTATCCTGCTAGATGGGGATAAGACATGAAAGAGTCTTCTAAATGAATTTTATACTAAATTTGGGATGGTGCTTTATGCTCAGGCCAGCTGTGTGTGGAATGATGTGAGCAAGGATGAGCTGGAAGCAATCACGGGCGGTTTTCTACTTCCCCTCAAGTTGTAAATGAAGCCGTCTGACTTCAATTTAAAACGTGTGAGTTGGTGCGAGATACTGGAACATGAGAAGCACTCATTCCCCAAATACAAAAGCACATTCCTGAGGCCAGCAGAAGGGATTGTTGGACATTTGCTCCGGTAGATGGATATAGAGAACTGAGAGCTGGATGATCCAAGACAGGTTGGAAATACTTTTGGGGGCTGTTATAATGATTGTACTATATCCTTGGCTAGCCCACCCTGCAGTGGCTATAGAAATTCTCCCTGAACTTAATCAGAGTGGCTAAAACATATTAGAGAACTTCTATGTTCATTTGATTCACATTTTCTCATGAAGGGCACAGTAGCAGATTAGCATGTAGAGGTTCCAGGATCAGAAGGACCTGCGTTTAAAATCCAAATTCTGTCATCATCTAGTGGTGCCGTCTTTGTTTAGTGTACTAACATCTGTGATTCTTTGATTTTGCTTGGTTAATATGCAGGGTTGTCATCAATGAACTATCTGAGGAAGAGCCATTTCAGAGGATGTGAAAGTAACATCGAAAGGCGTTTTAAAGAACCTGCTGCCTCTTATTGCAAAATGTAAAATCTAACCCCCAGTAAGCCAGCTCTTTGGGGGTTTGAGGTACACTGTGAATTATTATTTTTTTCTGCATCTCCTTTTGTGTCTGGAAGTTGCCAGAGCATTTTCAGTGATGCTCGATTGATATGGCTTTCTCAAGAACTCTCCAAAATACAAAACAAGGTTTGTTTCCTTGCCATTATGATTGTCATTTTGATCAAGTGCTAGGGTAGTTTATGGAAAGTTAGTTGTCTTCAAGGTTGAGTCAGGGGAGGGGAGCGAGCAGGGACAGAGACACTTAGGTGAGTGTTCATCACACATGATTGAAAAACTAATCATTCTTCATGGATGGAAAGGTTCACTCTAGAAAAGACCAGCCAAACCACTTCAAATCATCCACAAAGCTTGTTGGCCAGTTAGGACAATGATGCTTAAAGCACTACAGTGCTTACTTTATTTGATTATACTTTGTTTTATAGGCTGCTTGATAATTATTATAGGTTCAAATTTGGGGCCAGTATCCTCCTCCCTTGCCCCAAATTCTTTTTCTTTGCTCTCTTGTACAAATATAAGAATACTGATCACAAGAATTATATACTAAGATATTAAAACTGTATCACTGGGTCAGAAACAAAATGAGATCAACTTGGGTCTTTATTAAGAATTGCTTGATTTAATTGTGTAGATGAGAAGAAGCTGCTAATAAAATATCTACTTGATTTTAAGGATACAGCTCAGAAAGGAAATAGTCAGGCCTCCTGTAAAATGTTTTATTTGTCCTGATGTCTAAAGTAATAATTTATTTTTTTCTGCAAAGGGAATTAAAAATTCACCTGTTAAAGAGAAATTTGAAGAATGTGAGATATAGCAAATTATTTTCTGGTTTGGGCAGTAGTAACTCCTTTATTCCTAAATATTTGGTAACTATTTTTTTTTTATTGTACATCCTTATTTGTTCAGTAGCAGGAATTATGAGGAATTTTACAAGCAGTTTATTAAAAGTTAAGTTAAACTATATAGATACTACTATGTTTGGTGTTTCATGTATAAAAATGAACTTAATCAAATTCTCTTTATTGATAGTTTACCTTTTTGAATTTGGCTTCCTTAAAATATTCTGCACTATTTTCCAGGGACGTGGGCTATATTTACAAGCACTGTCTGGAAAGGACTTCTGTCCTGTTGCTCAGTTTTAAAACTACATGTATGACATCTCTTTTGAGATGTTGAAATGCCAGAGTAGATTTTATTTTACAGAGGCGTATTTTTCTTTTCCTTTTAAAGCATCTGACACTTGTTTTTCCTGGAGAAAGAATGAATTGGGTTTTGGGCTTTTTATGACCAAGTTAAGTAACTGAGAGCTTTGGAGCTAGCAATGAAAGTGAGATTCCCTTTCACGGAAGAGCTTGCCATTGGATGTTGACAGCTCCAGTCTGCAGTCGGGCTGACCCAACCGGTTTGTACTTAAAAGTTTTGAGCACCGTGAGTCAGAGGGAAAGGAAGAGAGAGGGAGGACATGAGCTCACTGCGGAGGGCTGGTATTAGGGGAGAAGAGAAGGATTGTTTGTTGGACCCAAACCAGAGCAAGGAGTGGCTGTTATTGCAGCATGAAAATATGAGCAGTGTGGGGGAGTAGTGCTGCCTTCAGGGCCTCACAGTTAATCTTCCCAGGGAGCTAAGTCACTGGTTTCTGCCTTAAAGAGTGCACTGGTTTTGGAATGTTTTCCTTCTTCCCCTTTCTCTGGCTGGAAACTTGACTTGAGAGAAGGAGCCTTTCCTCTGCCCTTGACTCACGCACTCCACATTTTCTTTTATCTGAACAGTCTCTGAAGTGAGGTGACCCTGGTGAACTCATCTGGATTCAAAGGCCAAAAGAGCAAAGAAGAACTTCAGTATGTGAAGAAGTGCTGGGTGCTGGGTGCCACACCACCTTCCGACAGTGCCAACACTCGGATCTAAATAATGTGACAGAAGCATGTAGACATCTTCACATTTCACTACACACCCCTTTGTTGGTTGGATAATGGTTTAGATCCTTCTAGAACTAAGTTTTTTTTTTAAACGAGATTTTTTAATTAAATGAAAAATGGACTGAACTGATATTTAATCTCTCTTTGCTGCTCTTTGTGGATGATTATGAGAAGGGTCCCATATTAATTAGGACCATTTTTACTCAAGTGAAAGAAAAATGTGAGCTTTCTTAGGAACAAGAAATGTAACTGGGTTGGTGGGGCCACTGGAAATAGACTCAGAAAGCCTGTATCTCTTCTAGGTTTTCTTCTTTTCAACATGTTTTTCTCCTGGCTTTTTCTACAAAGTCACTTCCTCCACTATGCTTTCTGATTTAGATCCTAAGCCTTAATAATTGTGTGACTTAGGGTTTTCTAGAGGGGCAGAACTGGTAAAAAATATATATGATTACACAAGGGAATTTATTAGGTAGGTTTTATATTATCAAAGATGGGAGAGTCTGCAGTCTCCATTTGTGAGACCAGAGATGGGAAAGCACTTAATGGTCATCTGCACCCTAGTGTACCACAGGACCCAGTAGCTGCTCAGTCCACCAAATGGAAGCCACAGAACCAGAGGAATCAAGGTTCAGTGTCAGTAAACGGTTGAAGGCCTGAAAGCCCACTGGTGGGTCGCCTATTGGACTCTCTGTTGGAAGTCTGAAGAAACTCTGGGCATGCAGCCAAAGGTGATGGTGTGGACTGAACCCCTTCCAAAGGGGAAGGGGCACCTCCTCCATGTTTTCTGTTTTATTCCACCAGTCTACAAGCCTATTGGCTAGTGCCATGCACACCCAGAGTGAGTCTTCCCCTCTCAGTTTGCTGTTTTACTTGCCAATCATTCACAGATATACCCAGAGCTGTGTCTTATTATGATAATCTGCTAGGAGTTTCTTAATCCATTAAACTGATGTATCAGGATTAATGGGCACATTACCACAAAGGTCTCAATATGTAGACGTTCAAGAGATCCAGCCCAAATCACAGGTTGCCTCTTTGACTTGTTGGTGGGATGTTGTGATTGTGATTGGTTCTCCCCTGAACATGCCCTCCCCCTCCCCAAGTTATGAAAATAAAAATAGACTAGGGCTAGGCCAAGAAAGAAGGGCACTAGAAAAGGCAACATATACCTATTCATTTTGGGCATAAAACCAACTGAGAGATTGGGTTCTCAAGAGAAAGCTGAACCAATGAGATTTACAGGAATTGGCTTACATGATTGTGGATGTCAAGAAGTCCCATGGCCTTCCATCTGCAACATGGAAAACCAGTATCATAATTCAGTTTGAAGGCTTTTGGACCAGGAGAGCCAATGATATAAAACTCAGCCTATTCCAACAGTCTGAGAATGGGGGAAAGTGAAAAACACCTGAAGTTCTGAGAACTGATGTCAGAGGGGGAGGGTGCAAGACAGATGTCCGAGCTCACAGTGAATTTGCCTTCCCTTTTTACCTTTTGGTTCTACTGGGGCCCCCAGAAGTTTCAATGAAACCCGTCTGTGCTGGTGAGAGAATTTTTTTTCTCAGTCTACTGACTTAAATGTTAATTTCTTTTGGCAACATCTTCACAGATACACTCAGAAATAGTATTTTACCAGTTGTGTGGGCATTGCTTAGGCCAATGGCATCACCACATAAAAGTAATCATCACAAAGATATAAAAAGGAGAATTTTAGCTGAAGCTGGGTTTGGAAAAATCCATAAAGTACATAGTTAAACACCAGTTATCATAGAGTTGGTGGTATAAATTTATGACTAGATCCTTCTGGTTAAACTTTTAGTTTTTAATGTGGGAGAGAATATATAGCACTGAGTGTTCATTTCGTGAGGGAATGAAAAACAAAAGAAAAATCATGGTCTCCCCCACATTTATACCTTACATCAGAGTCCCAAAATAAAAATAATTTGGCTGATTTTGTTTGAAAGAAAGTACAGATCTCTGATGACTCAGTGCAAACTTTGGGTTAAATCCAGAGCTATCCTAATGCCAGAGAAGGAGACTTTAATTCATGACTGAGTTCTCTGACAGTGGTACTGCTCTTGAAAATGTCAGTCATTCAGAACTTTTACAAAAATCCAATAAATTTTATGAGTAGGATCTCTGAAACTTTGCCTACAAGTGACCATGCATGGTTTCCCTTAATGTTGACTATTTGCTATAGTTGTAATGTTTGTATATTTTAATTGTTGTTTTGCCAAAAACCTTTCTCTAATTAACTCCTCTAAGGAAAGAAGATGTCAAATTTGGGTTTATAAGTGGGAGTAGAAGGCACAGACTGAGGAAAACTATTTGAAGCCTTAAATTGGTAATCGAGGATAGCCAGTTCCAAGAGTGAGAATAGCAGTGATTTCTGAGGTTGGCTAAAGCAATGAAATGCGTAGCATGTCACTGTCAAAATGCCCTGGTAGAGCTGCAGCCCAGGAGCATGGCAGAGACCAGGGCCCAGGTTTGACACTCCCAGCATGGCAGCCTGTGTTTTTGGACTATGTACCTGGCCTCTGTTTTCCTCATTCCAGCTTCCTGTGAGATGTCTAACTGAGAAGCATGTGATCAACATCCAAGGGCGAGCTAATCCTCATCTCTCTCCCATGGAGAAAATGGGTCTGGTTCTAGAGCCTTTTGGCATTCAGGAGAAAGTTGGTAAATTGGGGCATATGCTTGAGTTATAGGATTTGTGGGTTGAAAAGGACAGTGTCCATAAAGTTAGCACCCAACTCAGGTGTGAGTTGTCTCATCAGTAGGTACTTGTTTTGATTGGTCTGTTTGACTTTTTGCTTTGAAAGAAGGCATCAGTTAAGTTCTCCTAGTGTAGACATTTTTAGTAATATCCACAGGTGTTTAAGGTAAAACCACTGATAACAAAAATAATTAGATGAGGAGAGTTAAATGTACTCTAGGAAAATGCACATTATGAGTTTCTTATCAGTTGATTTAAACACTGACTAAGCAACAAAGAATTGTGGAAGAATTGGAACATAAACCTGAAATAACTTCCCTTGTTCTTTCTTAAAATAGGCTTCAAATTAGTAACACCTGTTTTCTCTCCTGGGTGTATTTTCTTTTTGATGACATTAGTTTTCAACTGCATTTTAAAAACAAATAATATGCAGTATTTTCAACAACTTCCTAGCCTAGACTCAAGATTTAAAACACAGCAGTTTTAAATTCTACCTACCAAGGACCCAACAACTGCAACTCCTGTGCTGGCATCTTTTCTCCTTCTGTTCTCAAATGCTGTTATACAAATTTTCACACATAAATTTACACAGATAAATCTGAATTACTGAGTACATTATATAGTATCCTTTATGAACTGACCCGGGTACTGTTCTTTCTTCATTTGCAGTCATTTGACATCACACTCCAGAGACTTTAGTCAAAGTGGGTTATTCAGCGTTGCATGATGGCAAAGTTTTACGTTTACGTTCCTGTTTTTAGCGCTGTCTTTTTTGTTAGCCCGGTGTACTCCTATGCATCTGTCTGAGCCCAGTTTCATTGCTGCTTTGTTTGTACAATCTCCACGACTGCTCACCTCATTCCCCAGGCTAACTCAGATTTCATCACTGGTCTTAGAATACCACATGATGTGATTTTTTATCACATCATGTGTTTTTGATATCAATATAGTAAATTGCATTTTAATCTGTAAATGTGCAGTGTAAAAACATCATGCATCTGTTTTCTCCCCCTCCTCTTTCTTCTCTTGCTCTTCTTTTTTTCCACCCTTTTTTCTCCTTCCTTCCCTCCTTTCACTTCTTTCCTTTGCAAACTTTGACCATATACTCTTGGCTTTAAAAAACAAAACCCAATTCCTGCCTCTTATCTCCCATTGGATGTTTTATCTCAACATATTAAGAAAGGAGGTTTGAACCTCCCTGGGCTCTTCCCAGCCTGCTTTTCCTGAGGTCATTGGCTGCTCTATCCTTCCGGTTGCTGTAGTGGCAAAACCCCGCATCGTTCTTTACTACGCTCTTTCCATCACACCCCACAGGAACTCTGTCAGGAAACAGTACCGACTTTCCCTTCGAAATCTGTTCAGGATCCCGCCTCTCCCCACCACCTCTCGTGTTACCATATCATCTCTCATGCATCACCATAGCCTTCTAACCGTCTTCTATTATCTAGTGTTTTTAACTACTAACACAGTATTTCATTTGCTTTCTTATTTTGTGAATTGTTTATTGCTCTTGTCTCATCTAGCAAGAAAGCTCCTCAGGGCCGGATATTCTTCTGTTTATCCTGCTGCACCAGCAGCACCTGGGTCCAGACGCATTGGCACATAATACATACAGTCCCGTGCTGCTTAGTACGGGGGATGCATTCTGAGAAAAGGGTCTCCAGGTGATTTTTATCATTCTGTGAATGGGACAGGAAGTATTTATACAAACTAAGACATCATCGCACTGCGGTGGAGTCTTACAGTGCCATTGTCATACATTCTGTCCAGGGATTCATCTCTTGTGGCCCTTGTTTCCTCACGACAGCACTGGAGGAAGGATTGCAAGGAACCTTCATGCAGTGACAGCACCCTGGAGGACTGTCTTTTTTGTCCTTAATCCACCTCAGGTGATTCAGAGAATCCCAGGTGATGAGGTTTCTTTGCATGCCTGTTCCTTTCCTTTAATCTTTGAGCACAGGAGCCCTAGGTCCTGTTAGAGTCCTCTACAGAGGGAGCAGGCTCCTGTGTTTCCTGGTGTTGGCTGTATCTCTGGGGATGCAGCACTGGGGATCTCACTAGCCCCACTGCCTGACCTGTTGGTATCTGCCTGCTCCTCAGTGTGAAGCAGCCAATGTCCTTCTTTCTCTCTTTAACAGCATTTTCCATTTCTTCTTTACAAAGCCTGTCATTTTTTTCTTCAGTGAACTCAAGCTCTTCCAATGGACAAGCAGCCCTTCTGCCTTCCAAGAAGCTTCTGTGTTTGCCTCTGAAGAAAACCTGTGAAATGTGAAGGTCACTGAGAGCCTAACAACAGCTTTGGGACAATGCCGGAAGAGGCCATCTTTTAAAGAAAAATTTTTTTTAAGGAGAGTAAAACATAACAAAGCATTACAAAGCAGATCAGAAGAAAACAATACTTACAAGTGTTAC